TCATGTGGAACACGTACGCCATTTGTACTACAAAGAGGAGCAAACCAACTAGGGAACAGGTACACCATTTGTACTGCAAAAAGGACAAAAACAAAATGGAGAACAAGTACGCCATTTGTACTGCAAGAAGGAAAACCAAACTGAGGAACACATCACGATTTGTTATGCACCAAGGACAACTAAACTGGAGAATATGCACGCCAACTAAAATTGCAATATCTTCCGTCTTTTACAAACCTTGAGATTTATACATTTTTCATAAAAAAAGAAACCAGATTCGTTTAGTTTCCTTTAAATGAATACTTTATACGAGTGTTATATCAAAGATACAGCGTATTTACTATACATATCTGACTTGTCATGTACAAAAATACAAATATATAATATTTCCAACGGAGTTAAGATTTGACACATGAAGGTGATTATGGACGGTAGGCGACAAATCTTCACATACCTGCCATGCATCTCCGCTACAAAATGTATTTTTGAAGCGATTGAAACTTTTTGAGTTGTTATATTCATTTCTGTCGAACTATTGAAAAGATTTTAATCTTTTACATGTCAGTACTGTTTCAAAAGCATATCTCTTACAAACATTACATTTTAAAGTGAACTTCGCTTAAATGTGTGTGATTTGTATTTTTAACGTAGCTTTAACAATTTTCCAGTCATATCGCTACGATGTCTGCGGTTGGACATTTTATAGTGATGTTTCTCATTGGGGCATCATGCTGAAGACATGTAGCACGATGTCCCACTTAGTTATATTATTCTGACATCAGGCCGACCATTCCAAACACTAACTGTGGCAAGATAACCGGGGATGGATTTCGGATTTATAACAGAACACTGTTGATGGTGATAAAATGTTTTTTGATGTATGACTTGAATGAGAAAAGAATATTTGATTAATGTGTGCGTGTACAAGATCCAAATATTGGACAAGTTAACATTATCCTCACGACCCTAATAATGCAACAAATATAAATACAAATAAATGACCTTAAATGATTCACAGTACTTTTACACGATGACAAGAATGCTGTTTTACTCAATAGTAAAAATGATGCATTCACTCAAATAGTGAAAAACTGACATTTTTTCCTCAAATAGTAAAATGATCAATTGATAAGACAGATATTATACAAAAATATCTTTACACTCCAAAAACACTGCGTATAACAAGATTCCTCCCCCCCAAAAAAAGATTACATGCATGGAGTAACACAAAACACTCCCGTCACACTTGGCTACCAGTCACACTGGTCAATCAAGAAAACATTGTAGGTAATCACTGATCACCCTTCAATTCCTTGGTCAATCAAGCAATCAGTGCCTACCAATTCGGTCAGCAATGATCACCAGCTACTCGACTAGCAATACACTTCACTCAGCTGCACGGCCGCCATCCAAATAGCTCCGTTGCCAGCTCCATCGTCAGCTTCACAGACGCCATGGTCAGCACCACAGCCGTCATGATTTACTTCCATGGTCAGGTCTACAGCTGGTACCAATTAGAACCTACCATCAGCTTTGATCACCATGGATCAGCTCCACAGCTGCAACGGTCAATTCTGCTCAGCTGAAAATATATCTAATACCGTGTAGTATGTATGAGACGGGCATATACGATAACACGTAATGACGTTATATACGGTAAGTTATACAAATTACATTGTCGTATAACATTACAAAATAATAATCAGGTTAAGAAATGAACCTGTGTCCGATAAGATTCCTGTAGTACTAAAGTTTCTTAATAAAATGCAACTTATATTGTTAATATAAATCTCTTCCTAATCCACAAACAAGAATAGAAAATATTTGCGTTATACTACGCAAGCCAAAGCAACATTGTAAACATACAAAACATCTTGTACGTACAATAGCTAAATCTTACAATATAGATAAGAAATAATATACATACGAAATTAACAAGTAACTTACATACCTCTACAGCTGAAGATGTGCAAGTCCCTAATTTATTGGTGTGGTACCTCTCAGATTACCATCATATGAGGTACCCTCTAGTTCCAAAAGTTAAAGGATTTTATGTATTCTTGTTGCCCCCTTATTTAAATTTTGTTTGTTTTGAGTTTATTTAAATTTGGTTGTATGAATTGTAATTTATAGTTTATACACCGCTTTATTCTAGTGTACAAAAGTACTCTTCAACCCTGGCTGGTTCTATTCCATATCTATATTAGAAAAAGAATATGTTTAATTCACTGGATACATTGTACAATATCACGTGAATGAAAAGAAATAGACTAATGTCAAGTTTTCAGATAGGTCAAGATCAAGCTTATAGATAGGTATACATTCTTATCCAGCACCATTCGTGTATCTTATCAAATGTCTGTCACAATTTTCATTAATTCTAAAAGAAATGAAGTCCTAAGCTAAGATCGTACAAGGCTTTATAGATGAGTTATGAAATTCGATATGTAAAATGGCATAAATTAAAGGGGCTCTGAGTGGCCGAGTGGTCTAAAGCGCTGCCATCTCACCTCTGTCTGCGTGGTTTCGAGTCTATGATTCGGCGAATGTGGATATGTGCGAAAGCTTGCCAGTAGCTTTTCGTGGGTCGGTGGTTCTTTCCGAGGATTTCCCGTTTTCTACTTCCACTAATAATACTGGCCGCCACGTATAGCCTATCGTGTGCTGAAAAATGGCGTTAAGCCCCACATCAACATAAAATGGCATAAAAGCGCATGGATGATGATGATGATGATAATAATAATAATAATAATAATAATAATAATAATAATAATAATAATAATAATAAGAAGAAGAAGAAGAAGAAGAAGAAGAAGAAGAAGAAGAAGAAGAAGAAACAGTATTATTATCTTTTTCTTCCGTTTGCATTTGTTTCATCTTATCTACATTTAATTGTTTAATACACGCATTACATGTATTATGTGTCTTTTATTGTACTTATGCTACTTATACGATACATTTGTAATAATGATACTACACTGATACAACGTATTGTTTGATCCAGCTAGAACATCAACACGCATTTGATTCAACTAACATTTTCCATTTTATTGTAAAGGTTGCTGATGGCCAATCGAATAAATGCATATAAAGATTCATTCGATATTAACATACTGTTTAAGTTGTTTGTGACTGACCTCTTTAAAACGAGCCAAGAAGCAGCAGACCAACCCCCACCCCGAAAAAAATCAAGAAGAAAAAAATAATGCGCAAAACAATCGGCACGTTTATAAGAGCAAATTTTTTACACATAGATGTTAAAATTTCTGCGCTTGAAACGTTTACAATCAGGCTTGTATAAGTAGACCACTTTAGGGGCTGACAAAGGCCCAGGACATATCATGAGTTTGTTTGGCCTATTTAAATTTGCAATGAATCGAACGACAAAACAAACACACACAGACACACACACAGACACACACACACACACACACACATATATATATATATATATATATATATATATATATATATATATATATATATATATATATATATATATATATATATATATATATATATATATATATAAAAGACAACTAAGTACACAAAATATTGTAATTGTAATTTTCAGGAATGTTTATTTAAAAAAAAAACTTTTAGAGGCTTCTTAGGTGTTGAGACCAGGGCCAAATTGCCCTCATTGTCCCATCTGATTGGGCCGGTCTATGGGCTTTGGCTTCTGCTCGACCCCCAGAGTTTCCATCCTCAAAACACTTTGACGACTTTTTAGTAACACACACGCGCGACCATAATTATCATACTGGATCCGCCTTGCCATTAAACATTTTGTGGAGCAAATTTATTTCTGTTTAAGGCCCCGACAGAAAAAAACTCATGTATTTCCGATGAACGTTTGAAATTGATCTGAATACCAGCACAGTGTACAAGGTTATAACTAAGACAAAAGACGTTTGAACTTGACATTACGTCAGCGGCAGTTTTAGAGCTCTGTGGGCCCGATGTGAAATGAGAACGAACCCTCTAATCTAATTTATATATCACTGAAGAAATGCTGCGAAATATTCATAGAAAAATACAGGTTTGGTTTCAAAATCAAATCTATCTTTAAATTATGCTGTAATCATAACATATTTTAAGCAAACTAAAAATTGCTTGAGGGTTCGGTGCGATAGAACTTTTTGCACCTCGCTAAGGCTCATACTGATCACGTGATATTGATGAAATTTCTTTATGGTGCAGAATAGGATGGGAAACTATGCACTTGTCAACGAATGTTTCTTTGAATCAAGTCATTTAATATTTAATCGGAATAAAGTCATTTAATATTATCACTAGATCTCATTGACGATGACCTACTGAGCTGCTCCGAGCCGTTGTTGTGAATCGCTTGGTAAACACCCATGTTTGAACAGGCAGAATTGATTATTTCTTTATTGAAGGAATTCGTGTGTCCTTGACTATGTCAGGAGTTGAGTAGTACTTTAGTGTCATCTCATAAGAGAGAGAGAGAGAGAGAGAGAGAGAGAGAGAGAGAGAGAGAGAGAGAGAGAGAGAGAGAGAGAGAGAGAGAGAGAGAGAGAGTAAATGATGTCATGTCACAAGGATATATATATATATATATATATATATATATATATATATATATATATATATATATATATATATATATATATATATATATATAACTGAAATAAAAAATCAGGCAAGATAGCTATCGGAATGTTCGAAAATCAATCCAAGCAAATTAGTGTTCTGGACCGAAGTATACACTTTATACACAGATACCAGTAGAGGGTACCTGGGATATTTGGGCCCATACGCAAAGCTTACTGATGGGACCATGCCTTTTTTAAACAAGCCCCCACCCGCACCCCAAAAAATATAATTCTAGATCTCCTATGCATTACGTATACTTGCTCTTTGGTAGCTACGCGCCTGGTAGATGCAATCGATTATACACATTAAATAACAAGGTATAATACTGTCCACACGTCCAGAATTGTTCACATCTTTTAACAAGTAACAAACGGGCAAACGGCATCGGTGGCCTAGTGATTAGAGCGTCTGTCTCGGATGCAGTAGGTCGTGGGTTCGATTCTCAGGCTAGTCATATCAAAGACTCATAAAAATGGTGCTAACAACAGCCTTGCTATGAGCTCAGCATTAGGAGGTTAATGTGAGAACTTGTCGACCTGGTGTCAGGTTAATGTGACTGGGTGGGACATCATGATACATGTCTGCAGCATGATAGTCCCAGTGCTAGACATCACTATAAACTGCCACACTGCAGACATCGTAGCGATATGACTGAAAAATTGTCGAAGCTAAACACACACACTCACACACACACACACACACACACACACACACACACACACACACACACACACGCGTGCATACCGACGACATATTAAAGCAAAAAGCGGTATCTATGCGTTACGGTGATATACGTGTCACTATGCACGTCGTAGATATTAACAAGTCAAAGCTCAATTTATCTCTCAAACATTTTCCAACATATTGTAATTAAATATGCAGCATTATTACCTTTGACTTAATTGTGTCCGCAAAATTAAAACTTTAATTATTTGTGTCCATAATACTGCCTTAAGAGTTTATAACTGGGACACATGATTTAGAGTTACGAATGTAATGGAATTAGAAAATTTAATTCGAGCCAAAAAGAATTATTTTGGGATACTGTTCCTCTAGTTCCTCTCAAGATAGAAGTACGCACGTATTGGCGGCGAAGCCAGATGTCGGTCAAATTATGAAAATCCATTTCCGATCAGTGAGGTATCGTAATTTATTTATTACATAAAACACCTAAAAATGTAAGTCTGCATTTTATAAAGGAAACGGGTTTTCCCTCTATTATAGAAGTTAATATCAAAAAAAGGGCTTTCTTTCACTCTTTTGTAGAAGTCCACATCAAATAAAACGTTTTCTCTCACTCTACTGTAGAAGTCAGCATCAACTAAAGGTTTTTCTCTAAATATTGTAGAAGTATTTCACTCTGTTGCAGAAGAAGTCAGCATAAAGCAAACGGTTTACTCTCACTCTATTGTAAATGTTTGCATTAAGTAAAGGGTTTTCTATCACTATTGTAGAAGTCTGCATCCGGTAAAGGGTTCTCTCTCACTCCATTGTTGAAGTCTGCATTAGGGAAAGGGTTCTCTCTTATTCTATTGTGGAAGTATGCATCAAATAAAGGGTTCTCTCTCACTCTGTTGTAGAAGTCTGCATCGGGGAAAGGGTTCTCTAACTCTGTCGTAGAAGTTTGCATGAAATAATGGGTTCTCTCTAACTCTTTTGTAGAAGTCTGCATGAAATAAGGGTTTTCACTCACTCTAAAAGGATGCATCTAGCAAAGTCTTCTTTCTCATTCTATTGTATAAGTCTGCATCAGGTAAAGGATTTTCTCTCACTCCCTTGTAGAAGTCTGCATAAAGTAAAGTGTTTTCTCTCACTCTATTGTAGAAGTCTCCATGATGTAACTGGTTTTCGCTCAGTCTATTGTTTTAGTCTCCATCAAGTAAAGGTTTCTCTCTCATTCTTTTGTAGACGAGTGCATTAAAAGAGAGTTTTCTTTCACTCTATTGTACTCGTGTGCATCAAGTAAAGTCTTCTCACTCGCTTAATTATAGGAGACTGCATCAAATAAATGATTTTCACTCACTCTATTGTAGAAGTCTGCATCAGGTAAAGAGTTTTCTCTCACTCTATTGTACCAGAATGCATCAAGTAAATTATTCTCTATCACTCTATTGTAGACATATGCATAAAATTAATGGTCTTCTTTCACTGTTGAAGAAGTGCGCATCAAATAAATGGTTCTCTCTAACTCTATTGTAGACGTTTGCATCAAGTAAAGGTTCTCTCTCACTCTGTTTTAGAAGTCTGGTTTTCTCTATTGTAGACGTTTGCATCAAGTAAAAGTTCTCTCTCACTCTGTTTTAGAAGTCTGGTTTTCTCTATTGTAGACGTTTGCATCAAGTAAAGGTTCTCTCTCACTCTGTTTTAGAAGTCTGGTTTTCTCTATTGTAGACGTTTGCATCAAGTAAAGGTTCATTCTCACTCTGTTTTAGAAGTCTGGTTTTCTCTATTGTAGACGTTTGCAAGAAGTAATTTTTCTCTCTCACTCTATTGAGAAGTCTGGTTTTCTCTATTGTAGACGTTTGCAAGAAGTAATTTTTCTCTCTCACTCTATTGAGAAGTCTGGTTTCTCTATTGTAGACGTTTGCAAGAAGTAATTTTTCTCTCTCACTCTATTGAGAAGTCTGGTTTTCTCTATTGTAGACGTTTGCATCAAGTAAAGGTTCTCTCTCACTCTGTTTTAGAAGTCTGGTTTTCTCTATTGTAGACGTTTGCATCAAGTAAAGGTTCTCTCTCACTCTGTTTTAGAAGTCTGGTTTTCTCTATTGTAGACGTTTGCATCAAGTAAAGGTTCATTCTCACTCTGTTTTAGAAGTCTGGTTTTCTCTATTGTAGACGTTTGCAAGAAGTAATTTTTCTCTCTCACTCTATTGAGAAGTCTGGTTTTCTCTATTGTAGACGTTTGCAAGAAGTAATTTTTCTCTCTCACTCTGTTTTAGAAGTCTGCGTGAGTAAAGGCTTCTCTCTCACTATCCTGCAGACGTCGGCATGAGGTAAAGTGTTATGGCACTCTAATTTCGAAGTCTGCATGAAGTAATGGGTTTTTTCACTCTATTGTGTACGTCTCCATTAAGCAAAGGGTTCTATTTCATTCTATTGTAGATGTCTGGATCAAGTGAAGGGTTCTCTCACACTATATTGTGTATATCTGCATGAAGTGAAGGGTTTTCCCACTATATTGTAGAAGTCTGCATGGAGTAAAGGGGTTTACATCACTCCACTTTAGCAGTCAACTTCAAATATAGGGTTCTCTCTCACTCTGTTGTAGAAGTGTGCATCATGTAAAAGGATTTCACTCACTCTATTGAAGAGTTTGCATCAAGTAAAAGTTCTCTTTATATGTTTTAGAAGTCTGCATAATTTTAAGGGTTCTCTCTGACTCTATTTAAATATCTGCATCAGGTAAAGGTTCTCTCTCACTCATTTGTAGGAGTCTTCAGAAACAAAGGGTAATCTCACTGTATTGTATAAGTCTCCATGAAGTAACGGGTTCTCTTTAACTATATCGTAGAATTCAGCATGAAGTGAAGGGTTTTTCTCTCACTCTATTGTAGAAGGCCACATCAAGTAAATGGTTTTCACTCACTCTATTGTAGAAGGCTACAACAAGCAAAGGGTTCTCTCTCTCTATCTCTGTCTCTCTCGTAGAAATTTGCATCAAGTAAAGGTTTTTTTCACTCTGTTTTAGATGTCTTCATGAAGCAAAGGGTTTTCTCTCAATCTATTGTAGAAGTCTGCATGAAGCAAACTGTTCTTGTTCAAGCTATTGTAGAAGTCTGCATCAAGTAAATGATTCCCTCGTACTCTTTTGTACGGGTCTGCATCAAGTTAAGGGTTTTTCTCACTCGATTTTAAAAGTGTGCATTAAGGAAAGGGTTATCTCTCATTATTTTGTAGAAGTCTTCAATAATTAAACGGTTTTCTCTATTGAAAAAGTCTGCATCAAGAAAGTGTTTCCTCTCAGTCTATTGAGGAAGTCTGCATGATCAAAAATGTCCTCTCTCACTCTACTGTAGAAGTCCGCATGAAGTGAAGTGTTATCCTTCACTCCATTGCAGAAGTCTGCATCAAGTAAAGTGTTCTCTCTATTGTAGAAGTCGGTATGAATGGTTCTCTCTCACTCTAGTTTAGAAACTTGCATTAATAAAGTGTTCTTTCTCATTCCATTGTAGATGTCTGCATGAAAAAAGTCCTCTCTCTCACTCTTTTGTAGAAGTCTCCATGTAGTGAAGGGTCTCTCACCATCTCGTTAAATTCTGCATGAATTAAATGGATTTTTCACTCTGATGTAGAAGTCTGCTTCAAATAAAGCGGTTTTCCTACTCTATTGTTGAAGTCTGCATTAAGCAAAGGGTTATCTCTCCCACTTATGTTGATATGTATCAAGTGATGGGTTCTACCTCATTTTATTGTAAATGTTATCATCACGTGAAGGGTTCCCTCTCACTATTGTAGAAGTCTGCATCAAGTAAAGGGTTCAATCTCACTCCATTGTGGAAATCTGCATCATGTAGAGTGTTCTCTCTCACTCTACTGTAGATGTCTGCATTAAGTAAAGTGTTATAACACTTTGTCGTAGAAGTCAGCATCAAACAAAGAGTTTTCTATCACTTTGTGTTGGAAGTCTGCATCAGGTACAAGGTTTTCCCTCACTATGTTGTAGAAGTTTGTATCATGTAAAAGGTTCTCTATTACTCAATTGTGGAAATCTATATAAAGTAAGGGGTTCTCTATTGTATAAGTCTGCATCAGGTAAAGGGTTCTCTCTCTTTCGATTTTAGAAGACTGCATGAAGTGAAGGGGTATTTCTGACTCTATTGTAGAAGTCAGCATGATCTAAAGGGTTCCCTCTCTCACTTATTGTAGGAGTTTGCATGGTGTAAAGGTTTTATTCTCACTCTATTGATGACGTCTGCATCAAGTAAAGAGTTTTCTCTTACTGTTGTAGAAGTTTGCATCAAGAAACAGGTTCTCTCTCACTCTATTGTAGACGTCTGCATGAAGTAACGGTTTCTCTCTCACTCTATTCTAGAAGTCTGCATCAAGTAAAGGGTTCTCTCTCACTCTAGTTTAGAAGTCTGCATCAAGTAAAGCTTTGGTTCTCTCTCACACTATTCTAGAAATCTGCATCAAATAACAGGTTCTCTCTCTCACTCTTTTGTAGAAGTCTGCATCAAGTAAAGGGTTTTCTTTCACTCTGTTATACAAGTAATCGTGAAGTTAAGGATTGTCTCTCACTCTGTTGTAAAAGCATGCACGAAGTAAAGCTTTGGTTATCTCTCACTCTATTCTTGAAGTCTGCATCAAGTAACGGGTTCTCTCTCTCTCTCTTTTGTAGAAGTCTGTATCAAGTGAAGGGTTTTCTCTCCGTCTGTTATACACGTCTGCGTGAAGTAAAGGATTTTCTGTCACTCTATTGTATACCTCTGCAAGAAGTAAAGGGTTTTCTCTCAC